GCTTAGAACTCAGACCAGGTTTGGAGATGTGTCAAAATATATGGGCTTTTTGGGAAAAGATGATCTGTTGGAGCTCCTGAGCCTGAATTTAGCTTATTTCTACATTCTATGGTGGCAAGAGTGATTCGGTGGGGGGAAAACACAAAGACAAATGCACCAAGCTCTTGAAACTTGAATTAGGGAAGTAAAACCTTATTAGCTTTTCTTGGTACATACTATTTAAAAATATCGCATTGACTTTGTGCTATGCTTCACATTAGTCTATGCTTTTTAGTCTAGGAAAGAGATTCTTGAAAAATGTCCCCATCAACAGCTCCTAAATATCATACTAAACTTCCCCTATCACTACTCCCCTTCCTTCCTCACTTTTAGGACCTTAAATGGACTTCTCTGATAACAGGGGACTTTGGGGGCCAGAAATGGCTAAGATATTTAACTTTTATTCAAGCGACTCAAAGTTGAGTGGCAGAAAGAATCCAGTAGAGGCCTGGGTACTAGAAGGTCAATGTTGCCTAGCCTGTGTAAGGGACACTGAGACCTCGTTGCAATCTAGCTCAGCAACTAACTAGCTGTGTGGTTTTGAGCAACCCACTTAAGTTCTTGGGGTCTCTATTTAAAGGAAGGGTTTGGACTAGGGATCCCCATGTTTCCTTTATCATAAAAGTCCTATGATTACCAGTGACCTGCTCAAGCCCATTTTCCTCATCTTTAAACCCAGGAACATAATATCTGCTTGTCCACTTCATAGGGAGGAGGTAAAAGTATATGTGAAAGTGCTCAGTGAGCCATAAAACACAACACAAATGTCAGATATCATTATTATGAATTAGAGGAATTAGAATTAGAATTCCTCTCTTTTCCTTCAGAGCAGGTTCCATATCTTCTGCCATTTCTGCTAAAGAGCAATTCCTTGCCTTATAGGAATTCCTAAAATTCAGTCCTTGGTTTGACAAACTAGGAGGCAGTTGTCAGCTCAGGTAGATGTTGTTGCAAATGACAGTAGTATCTGAAAGTTCTTCTTAAGGAAGTGGACTAAGGGTTCCCTCAGTCCCCAGAGAGAGAAGGCCTCTTCTTGACCTTATGCCAGGGTGTGAACAGTGCTTACTAACAAACTGGGGTTCTCAGATGGGGCTCTGCCCAAAGAATGAAAAGGCCGTGGAAGCTCCAAGGGCAATAATGGTAATATATGGTAATTTGAGGTGCTTATCTTGTGCCTAGCATCTGTGCTTTTCCAAGCCATTTACTGACATTAACTCATCAGTACTTCCAACACTACCTCAGCCTTCCATGTTGCTTTTGGGGTGGCAGGAGGGGATGTTATCTGAGCTTTGTATTCAGAGAAGGCCCCTGGGCTGAGAGTGACAGTTCCTCTACCCATGCCTGGTGATTAGTTCTTCCCTGTCACCATTGACAAAGCCTCTCATTTCTTGTCCCCCACTACCAGGACTCCAGTGATGCCATCCCAGTGCCTGGCCCAGCATCATGGTGTCCGAACTGAAATGACTCTTTAAAGACTCCCCGCAGGGGCCAACTCCTTCTTTGATGGTGCAAGACTGAAGCATTCAATCCACCTAGAGAGGAAGTGAAACAACCAAGGCAACACAGCTAGCTAGCGACACAGTCAGTAACCTGTCTTAAGAGGCAAAAACTAGAAACTACTCTCTACCCTCACCCCCATACACCCAAATAAATTAAACATTCTTCATGTCCCTTGAGGAATCAATAGTGCTTAAACCTGAGGGGTATGGGGAAAAGGAGAGACATCATGTATGTCTGATCACACAGCAAGGTTTCTAGTGCCACCTCTGAACACCCATCTCTCCCCAGGCAACAGTGGTGGCCCATCCTCTCCTAAATTGGAATGGGTCATTCTTGAAATAAAAGTTGAACTTCCATCATTTGGATAGAATTAGTTAGGATGAAGGCTTCCTCCTTTTCTCTCATCCAACAGCTGAATCAACTTAAGCCCTTATGACAGGCCTTTAGGAAAGAAAATCCAGTTGTGAGAAATGAAAGTGTACATTGTGGCCCAGGGCAGTCTATGCCAGACACTACTGACCCTAAGGTAGAATATAATGGCTTTTGCCAAGAACCCAGCTGGGTCAGCTGTGTGCTTTTCACAGAATAGGCACATAAAAAATATTTGTGGATTGATCTGATGGGCAAAAATTCCTGGCACTTGCATACTTTTCCATTTTTCAGTTTCTTCTTTTTTAATGCTTAGCAAAGGCACAGATGGCCAGTGTTTAATACATCTGGAAGGAATGTTGATAATGGCTGTCATCTCTATTTCCAAAACTGGTCTCTAGGTGACACTGATTCTGGGGTATCTTGGGGAAAAAAAGTTCTGTGTTTGAATAGGTTGGGGAGTGTTACTTAGCTTCTGACTCTAGTCTCTCAAGATTCTGGAAGCTCATTAGCTTATTACAAATACTGAGAAGAGTTGCCCTCCTCTCCCCCAAAACCAGCTTTAACTTTTTGTTAAAATAATTTATTTCCAGGTTGATTTGATTATGGAACAGCCCTTCCCACATATTTCTTGTGATATCCATTAAAGCTTCACAAAATTCATATTCTTTGGAAAATACCTTGGAAACTACTAATTGAACACAATTTCTGAATTTAACTGGTGAAAAATCAGAGGTCCCAAGAGGGATTCTAACTAACTATAGGTAGTTAGTGGGGAGCTAGGACCAGAATCCCATTTCTTTTTTGCCTGGTCCAAACTGGTCAATAACACCCAGCTAGAGGGGCATTCTCTAAGGTGGGTTCTAGGATACCAAACGTCATGTGTAGAGATGATGGGTGGGCAAAAAGGATATGAACATTTTACTCCGTAGTGGGTTCTTTCAGGGTAATTTGCTAAAAGCTTTTGGTTGTTCTAGCTGCTTTTAAAAATGGGTAATCATATCCCATTCTTTTGTTATCTCATAGATCTTGGGGTGCTTGCCTATTGCAGCCTGGGTATGCCATAGGTGCTTCGTAAATGTATTAATGAACGGATAAATGAAAGAACCCAGCAAAAATCAGAGGAGGATGGTGCCAGGGAGGAAGAAGGAGTCAAGAACTGAAAAGGAGTGAGAAAAGGAAAAATGTGGAGAAAGAGGGGGATGGGTGAAAAAAAGGAGCCAGCAGTTACTGCTCAGTGGAGGATGGATAAGCCCTGACAGAGAAAAGAAAGAAGACAGCTGCAGGTTATGGGGAAAACAAAAACAAAACAAAACTTAGTGACCAGGAAGCTTTGTTTTTAAAAAGTAAAAGTGACTCATAAGGCTAATTCAGATGCTGGACATGCCAAGAGGCCCTTGACCAGAAGATGGGGATGAGAAAATGAAATGCTGAGAAACTTTGTGAACTCAGATCGAGGTATTTTTTACCGCACTGGTACGGAAAATGTACAAGGCATCTTCTTAAGACCTATACAAAGATAACAGACGAGTAAGACACAAGTCTTGCTTCAGCAAGGTGACAGTTTATTTTTTATAAATTTTTTAAAAAAGATTTTATTTATTCACTTGAGAGAGAAAGAGCACACAAGCAGGGGGAGCGGCAGAGGGAGAGGAAGAAGCAGGCTCCCCACTGAGCAGGGAGCCCAACCCAGGGCCCGATCCCAGGACCCTGGGCTCATGACCTGAGCTGAAGGTAGATGCCTAACCGACTGAACCACCCAGGCACCCTAACAAGTTGACAGTTCAATGAAGGGAGGAGTTAGGACAGGAACTCAGATAACATAATGTGAGGCAGAATGTTTCAGTGTCTCCAGAGGTACAAATCATTAGAGGGAGGAATCAGGAGACAGGAAATTCACATCAAGTCACCAAGCCCAAGAAGGCCTGTGCAGGAGAGCCATGAAGCATGGATAAGATTGTACCAGGCAGAGATGGGGGATAAAAGAGGCATATTCAAAGTGATATGATAACCCTCAGGAGGTGGGGAAGCATATGGAACAGTGAGAGGTCCAAGTGGATTGCAGCCAAGGGGGTGTGTGTGGATTGGGAGGGTGTGGAGACATGGCCAGAAAGTCTTGAAGTCACACTGTAAGGTCTTGAAGGCCTGGCTAAAGTACAGACACTGCAGGCAGGCAGGAAGCTAGTGAAGGGTTTTCTGATGCGATTGTTCAGAGAAATAATAATACCATTAGAGACGACTCCCAGGCAGGGTGACCGGGCAGAAAGGGGTAAGTCAGGGCAGGGGGCAGTTTGGGGGTGTTAACACATCAGACAATCAGAAAATCTGTCCAGAGATAATGGCTGAGTTCTTTCCTGAGAGCACAGACAGCAGAAGGTTCTGGTCATTTCCTCAGGGGATAGGGAAGAAGGAAGAATGAGAGCACAAGGTGAGCCAACGAGCCAAGGAGGAAGGACGCCAACAGCCAGGCGGGGTACAGATTTCAGTGAAGAAGTTATAGCCATGCCTGAGAACCCCAGTCTTGGTTTGGGAATGTGGGAGTTTGAATCCCAGGGGCCGAGCTAGTCATGATTACCACAGGGACTTCAAAGAGTTTCTGAGTCTGTTTGTTTCCTCATCTGTGAAATGGGCGTGATTTCTGTCTCCAAGGAACCAGAGCATCCTCCCAGGATAAAGCTGGGTGTACACAGTAGGAGCCAAGGGGTGAACGGGGCGGACAGGGCTTCAGGAGCCTCTGGAAATGGAAGCGGGGACGCTCTGCAAGCCCCACATTTAGGCAGGATTGCTGACCGCCCCGCGAAGGGAATGGGTGCGCGGGCCTCGCCGCGGGGCACTGCCCTTTCGCCTACGCCTCCATCCCGCAGCACCTCCCACCCTCCCGCGGACCCGGAGCCCGACGCGCATGCGCCTCCCGGCGCCCCTGCCCGGCTTTCCACGTTTCACTTCCCTCCCTTTTCCTCCGCAGCGGCCGCTCCACCGCCACGATTGGCCAGCGGGCCTCCTCGCCTCGGCCAATAGGCGCCGCTCTCTCGCCCCCGTGTTACTGGGTAGAACAAAACAAAAACAAACAGAGCGAGAGGGGGCAGAGGCGCTCTGAGGCGGCGGCGGAGGCTGAGCAGCGGGGTCTGGGCCGGCGGACGCGGACGCGGACCCGGGCGGGCGGCGGCGGCGGCGGCGGCGGCGGCGGCCCGAGGGGTCAGTACCAGCGGGGCGGCCCGCACGCCCGGAACGACTGCGCCCTCTCCCCAGCCTCGTCCCTCCTCGGAGGCAGCCGCACGTTGGGCGGGGGGTGAGGCGCGGCCGGGTGGGCCGGGGTCCGGCCGCCTCCCCCGAGCCCGGTTGCAGGGCCGCAGGCGCCCCGACGCCCCGGGCAGCGGAGGGCGAGGGCGGGCCCCGGCCCCGGCCCCCCGCTCCCTCCTCCCTCCCAGGCCGGGGCCCCGAGCGCCGCGGCGCGGGCCCGCCCCCTCCGGGACCCGCTCCCGGACCCGCTCCCCGCTCGGCCGGGCGCGCGGGGCGCCAGCCAGCCTCGGGCCGCTCCTCGCCCCCGCGGACGCCGAGTTTTCATTTTCATTCTGAGACGGGACGTTGGGAGGCGTGTTTGTGGCCTGCCCGGGGTCCTGCGGGGAGGGTTCGCGCCCTCCCCGGGGCCCTCCCTCCCCGGACGCGGCCCCCGGCCCGGCGGCCCCAGCGCCTGGCCCGCGCTCCGGAGCCCAGGCCCCGGCGCTTCGGGGCGGGCCTGGACCCGGGGCCGCGGGGACCCGCTGCGGGGGGGGGGGGCGGGGGGGCGGACACGTGCGGACACGTGCGGACTTCGGGCAGAGGGTCGCTGCTTTAGTCGAAGTCAAAACCGCCCAGAGACAACAAAGACGGGGAGAGAGCCCTCTTTCTGTGAAACGCAGGCCGTGGCTGCTGCTTTCGTCAATTTGGTGCTGCAGGGCCCGCGAGGAGGGGTCGTGACCCGCCCCCCCCCCCCCCCGGGGCTTCAGAACCTGTCTGCGGACCGGCCCGTGGCTCCCGCTCCCCTGCCCTTGGGAGAACTGGCCGTGTCACCAGCACCTGTGCAGCAGGCTCTGCAGCGATGAAAACCACCCAAAAAACGCAGCTTCGTGTGGAAAAAAGAGTCGCAGCTTATTTTTTACGGATAAGTTTTAGAATTTTGGCCTTCTTACTAATGTGAGGTTTTTTTTTTTTAAGAAACCACCGTATACTTTTCTAAAAGGGGAGCACTGCGTATGTGTTCCAAATTTGATGGTTCGTGTTTATGCCCTTAACCTTCCTTCATTATAGGTTTCTTCAATTCCTTACCATCTCAGCTGGGATCTTTGAATTATATTTTGATTGGTGAGGTTTTTTTTTTTTTTTTCTTGTTGTAGTAATGAGAAAGGAAAAATAGTTGCTGGGAGTGCAAAAATAAATGACACTTTGGTATTTTCTGCGCTGCTTGCTTTTTGCATCATTATGGTTAAATACTCTTAGCTGATTTTATTTTAAGTTGCTAATTAGCTGTGATTGTAGCCCTGGAATGAATACAAATAATTTCCTGGTTTATATATGGCCTAAACTTGACTCCAGAACTGTCAGAGTGAGTGGTTTATGAAGTATATTTCAGGAAACAGATTTTAGGGGTGGGAGGGTGGGAAGGTGAGGCTCTGTCTCTTAGGAAATGTGATGGCATTTGAATGCTGGTAGTGTGTTTCTGTAAAACACATTGAAGAAATGAAAACTGTTTAATGTTAGCCTTAATTTTGTCCAACTTCTAAGCATACTTTTCTTGTTGAAAATTTTATTGTTTAGTTTTAAGGATATGGTGTTTAGAGGTTTTGCTTTTTGCTTTTGCTAAGTTTGGGGCCAAAAATCTTCTGGATTGTTGAGTAAACTGGAAAAAAGCTCCACTACTTTGAAGAGAGGAGAAACATGCAATATATCTTTATTTTTCTCTAAATTCTTAAAATGTCTGTGTTGCTATCAAATGTGACTGAGTTCTTGATTGTGTTATCATTGCCTAAGGACACAGACAGGGCTATTTATTTATTGTTAGGATTACTTAATAAAAATGTGCTAAGTTGTAGGTGATAGTTATACCTAATAATTTTCTTACCTGGTTGAATGGCTTTTGTGTAGTTGTTTAAAAAATATTTTTAGTGTTTGGAAAGTAGTATTGGAAGATTTGATGTAATAATAAGAGTCTATGTTTTAATAAGCTTCTGTCTGAAAAAGAATCTTCTTGTGGGATATTAAAATCTTGTATTGAACTTGTGTAAACAGTAATGGATTGAGAAGGTCTGGGTTCTGGTTCTTGGATTGAGCAGCTGTCTCTCTTTGGACAGGTCACCTGCCTTCTCTGAATTTGTTTAGTTGTGTGCAAGGTGAAGTAAATACCTTAAGGTTGCTCTGAGAGGTACATGAAATAATGCATGTAAAATTCTCTGAATTATAAGAGGCTTTATAAACATCAGTTATAATGATTTCATTTCCTTTATTAGCCAGGTTCTGTAGAAAGTATTCTCTCAAAAATTATACCTGCATCAAATATGAAAAAGACTTTTTAATGTAACTTTAGTTTAAAAAGCTCATATACACATCATAGGACATTTTTACTTTCCTGTATAACGTGTAACTCATACTGAAATGAAACATGGCATTTTCAAACATGGAAAAGACTAAATGCTTAGGTTTGCAAGTTATTTTTGTTTATATATATATCTCTGTATACATATCTTTTAAGGTTCATTTTTTTCCCCTAAATCCAGAGTTTGAAATTTATGATTCTGAAAGTCGTTATATAGAATGACATAAGTCTGTTTATTCTGAGTAGAATTAGAGCGATCTCACCATTTTCTTAACTTCTGAAGTGGTATGATAGTATGCTGGTAGCCTAAGGATTATGCCACATTAGGAAGTTTATCATTTTAGCATTAAGGTGTATTTATTTTTGTTTTACAAAATAATACTCTTTTCTGGATTAAAGGACTATAAACTTTTAAAATGTTAAAATAGTATATATTAAGGAATTTAAAAGTCAGTTGAGGGGTGCCTGGCTGGCTTAGTCAGTGGAGCATGTGACTCTTGATCTCTTCAGTCATGAGTTCGAGCTCCACGGTGGAGGTAGAGTTTGCTTAAAAAAAGTCAGTTGAGTCCCCAGGAGGCATCATATGTTATTATTCTAAAATGACATCTATAACACTAGGTTATGTTATATTGGAAATATATGCTTTATTGTAATTATTTTATTGGTCATTTCATTAATTTGTGCATTTAATATCTTGACAGCACACAGCTAGTGAAATGTAATTATAAATGAATAGGAGGGTTTATATCTAACCTATATGACTTGAACGGATTGATGCTTAAGTACTATAAGCAACTTTAAAAAAAAGTTACAGAGAGATTCTAAAATCATATTTGGTTATACCCTCTGGTATTAGGTTTCATGAAAACATTTTGATGGTCTTTTAAATAACATTAGATTTATATCACTAAGTTAAATAAAATAACTGATTTCATCAAAACCTTCAGCATCAGTAATTTTTAAGCCATTTTGAAACTGAGGTCTAAAATACTGAAAAGCTAATGCCATTCTATTTATTTCTTTTTTAAAGGCAAGGCTTTTTTGTTTTTGTTTTTTAAAGAGATGCAGGAGGTGCCTGGCTAAGTCAGGGTTGTAAATTTGAGACCCATATTGGATATAGAAGTTACTTAAAAATAAAATGTTTAAAAAAATTTAAAGATTTAAAAAAGAATGGTTTTTTCAGATTATGAAAATAATACTCTTATGAAAACACCATTTACAAAAATTTCTCCCAGCCTTTAGTCTTGTAACTGTAATTATGGACACCTAAGTGATGAAATGACAGACCTATCCGCCTTCAGATATGTTGTAGTGTGAAAAATTTAACAGTCATGTGAAATGCCTGATTCAAACTGTTGCTTGCAAAAAAAAAAAAAAAAAAAAACCAAAAAAAAACAAAACAAAAACTGTTGCTTTCATTTTGTAATTGTTCTTATAGTTCATCTGTAGTGAGCTATCCAATATTACATCAGATTAATTATGAGGCCTGGTAGCCCTAAGAACTTGGGAGTATGTAATACTGCTTTAATTTGAAATAAACCCGTATAGTAAATACATCTTTTACTTCCAAGTTAAAGAGATGCTTTGGCACATTCAGAAATATGGGCGGATTTTTTGGACACATATACTTGTCAGGAAGATTGAAACCAAATGCTAATTGTGGTAAACTATTTTTCAAAGAGCTCTTTTTTGAAAATGAAATTATGTTCTGATTTTTTTTTTTTACAGTGTGACTAAGTAAAATTCAATTTACATTAATTATGTCAGTTTGGACAACATTGAAACTTTTTTCTTTTTAAGGAAATAGATCCCAAGGGAAGACTTCCAATAGGAATTTAATCAGTGCAAGTAACATTAAAGAACGATGGATGTAGAAAATGAGCAGATACTGAATGTAAACCCTGCAGGTATGTAAGAATATTTTGAACCTTGACTATATTGTGAGCATATGTGAGGCCCTACAAAATTTTGAGAAAATACAGTATTAAAACCATCTTTACTTGAAAAAGGCATCTTAATCATGCTACAAGAATGCAAGTTATATTTTTGAGATTAAGTTTGTGATTCCTGTTTTTATAGAAATTCTTCATGTGTTCTTAATTTTTCTGCCCATCCTTTCACATTCCATGCATTCTTATTCTCCACTATTTATAATAAACTATGTATGGTACATAGTGGAGAAGAATAGTGAATCTGTTCATTAATATTTTCAAATGAGCTAATGATTTCTACAATATAAATTATTACTGGTATCTTTGATCTCTTTCCTAATAATTTATATATTATATTACCGATGGTATTTTTCTTGATTTTCCATGATACTTCAATAGCACATTATCATGAAATTGGTTTTGTGGAATAGATGTTAATATCTATCTATCTATCTATCTATCTATCTATCTATCTATCTATCTATCTATCAGATTTTATTTTTATTATTTATTCATGAGAGACAGAGGGAGAGAGAGAGGCAGAGACACAGGCAGAGGGAGAAACAGCCTCCGTGCAGGAAGCCCGACATGGGACTCGATCCTGGGATCCCAGGATTGCACCCTGGACTGAAGGTGGCGCTAAACCGCTGAGCCACCCGGGCTGCCCTGTGGAATAGATGTTTAAATGTTGAGTAACTTCAGGCAACTTAAAATGTATTTATAACTTTCAGAATAATCTTTGTAGAGTAAGTTATTAGGATTTTGTAATATTCTGAATAGTAAGAGCTTTTCCTGTTGGTATATTTTAGATAATTCTTTGCTGTATAATTTTATTAGTATTGAAAAGATCTTCTTGTGATTTTAAATATACTTACCATATTTCATTTTTTAATATTGTAGTAGTTTTATTTTTTTCAGTGACTCTAATTCAGTGTGTACAAATTATATAGTTTTCTTTGATCTGAACGGACACTTTGAAACATCTTTGCCATTTTGTATTTACAAACCTGATTTAAAGTGTGGTAGGAGGGCACCTGGGTGGCTCAGCGGTTGAGCATCTGCCTTTGGCTCAGGTCGTGATCCCGGGGTCCTGGGATCAATTCCCACATTGGGCTTCCCACAGGAAGCCTGCTTTTCCCTCTGTCTATTGTCTCTGCCTCTCTCTGTGTGTCTCTCATGAATAAATTAATAAAATCTTTAAACATAGTTTTTTAAAAAAAATGTGTGGTAGGAAATTATAGTTGAAAAAAATTACTGCAATAATTAATGATTATTTTGGTGCTGTTATAAACAATAGCTATATGAGTTCTTGTTTTTTTAGGGTTATAAATGGGTATCATGTCCCTGCTTCACTGAAGTGGGGATGGTAAGAATATATTTGAAGAATGTATTTCACATATACATAATTACTGATTTTTTGCACTGCCCAGTACAATAGCTACTAGCCACATGTGGCTCTTGCGCACTTGAAATGTCACTTGTCTGAATTGAGATGTACTATAGGTACAAACACATTCTAGATCTTGAGACAGTATGAATGAAATACCTCATTAACTTTTTATATTAACTCTGTGTTCAGTCTGTAATAGATCTAGTTGATTAAATCAAATATATTAAAAATTATTTTTGCCTGTTTCTTTTTAATATGGATACTGGGAAATTTAAAATTACATATTTGGCCTGCATTATATTTCTGTGAGACAGCACGACTCTAAATTTTACATATTTTGCTTTCTGTATATAACAAGTTCTAGTTCTTTAACCCTGTTCTTGATGCCTCTGACCAGAACTGCCTTAATATAAAGGACTTGTAGTTCTTTAATACTTGAATGAGCCTAAGACAGATCTTTGCTATAAATTCCTCCTGTAGCAAATAGTCCAAATCAGACTAGCCTATTAACTTCAACTTTTACTTTGACCAGCTCTGTTACTTTGGGGAAGTAGATTATTTGCTCTGACCTTCAGTTTTCTCATATGTAAAACTGGGGTACAAATGCCCTCTCAGTAGGTTTATTGTTAGGATTCAGTGACATCATAGTGTGTGTGTCATGCCCATAGCACATATTTTGTATGTAACTAATGAAAATGTGCTAATATTATTAATTATAATTATGCCAATCAATGGACCATTAATTGAAAATTTGATTGTTTGGTACTGTTATAAGTTAGATTGATTACTACTGAGATACCAGAGAATTTAAAGATTTTTATTTATTCATGAGAGACACAGAGACGTAGGCAGAGGGAGAAGCAGACTCCCCGCAAGGAGCCCCACATGGGACTTGATCTTGGGTCCTCTGGATCACACCCTGAACCGAAGGCAGGCGTTCAACTGCTGAGCCACCCAGGTGTTTCAGCCTACTCCCCTTTTTCCTTTTTTTTTTTTTTTTTTTTAAGATTTTTGTTTGTTTATGATACCAAAGAATTTAGAAGGGGAATTCGTACACGGTGGAAAACAATTTTGAAGTCACCGCCATTATGTACTCAGGTTTTTTATTTTTGCATTTTGGTTTTCTTAAAGTCAGATCAATAGTGGTTTATGGAAGCTAAAACTTAGGTAAATAAGGGGCACCTGGGTGGCTCAGTTGGTTAAGCGCAAATGACGCCTGACTTCAGCTCAGGTCATGATCTCAGGATTCTGGGATTGAGTCCTGCGCGTTGGGCCCTGTGCTCAGTGGAGAGTCTGCTTGAGGATTTCTCTCTGTTTCCACACGCTCCACCACCACTCACATGTACACTTTCTCTATCTCAAATAAGTTAATCATTAAAAAACCAGATAAATATGAGTAGCAAAATACAAAAGAGTAATTGATAGAAACATGGGTTAAAAATTATAAGATCTGGGGCACCTGGGTGGCTCAGGTGGTTAAGCATCTGCCTTCGGCTCAGGTCGTGATCCCAGGGTCCTGGGATCAAGCCTTGCATCAGCTCCCTGCTCAGAGGGGAGTCTGCTTCTCCCTCTCCCTCTGCCCATCCCCCCACCACCTTGTTCTCTCACACTCTCAAATAAAATCTTTAAAAAAAAAAGATAAGATCTAACAGATAAAATATATCTAAATATATTCTCCTGCAGTCATACAAATATACTTGGAAGGATATTAAAATAGTTGAAATGGCAGCCCAGGTGGCTCAGCAGTTTAGCGCTGCCTTCATCCCAGGGCATGATCCTGGGGACCTGGGATTGAGTCCCACGTCAGGCTCCCTGCATGGAGCCTGCTTCTCCCTCTGCCTGTGTCTCTGCCTCTCTCTCTCTCTCTCTCTTTTCTCTCTCTCTCTCTCTCTCTCTCTCTCTCTCTCTCCCCCTTTCTCCCCCTCTCTCCCCCTCTCCCCCTCTCCCCTCTCTCCCGCCTCCCCCTCCCTTCTCCCTCTCCCCCTCCCCCTCTCCCCCTCCCTTTCTGTATCTCTCATGAATAAATAAAATCTTAAAAATAAAATAGTTGAAATGAAACCCAATTGTGGCCAATATGTTGAAATTGAATGCTTTAGTACTCCAAGTGATAGCTTAAAGCGTTCATTATAATTTAAGTCCTTTATTTTCTGGACGAGTTTGGTGGTTTGCTGTCATAGAATAATGAAAGCAGTATGTTACAGGTAAATATGTAATATTTTCATCCCTTGCATGCTCTTGAAATTCCATCTAACTTGTCTCATCTCTGGTCTTTTTTGCTCCTTCCTCTTATTCTTCTTGTTTTCTCTTTTAATAATCACTCCCTTGTCCTGTCTCTTTAGCTGTCACTACTCTACTCTAGTTCTGTATTTTTTACAGTTGCAGTCATCTGAGATTTAAATGTGGATTTGAATCCTGGCCACAGTCTTTTTTTAGATATGTAACTTTTCTGTGAAACATCTTCCATCTGTAAATTGAAGATAAACGGTTTTAGTTTGGAGCTTCATGAAGATTATAGACCATATATGTAAAGTGCCTAGCATAGAACCTGGTATCTAGTAGTAACAAGGATGATGATAATGAAAAAAGAAGTGCATTATGGCTACGACTACTACTGCTACTAGTAGTTGTAGTAGTTAATGATGATTGTGATGATGTCTCAAACTCACTAACTCTGACTTCCTGTCTTAGTCTAAAAACTTTTAAGATTTCATTTCATGCTTCTTTAGTCTGTTTAAAAGCTCTTTTTGATTTCAGTGTAACTTTACTCCCAAATTATTACCCTTGATCTTTTCAGTTAGTGAATGAATTTATTGCAAGATTTTCATAGCTGCTTTTCTATTTTGTACTTTCTTTTTTTCCTAATCTGTATTCCTTTGTCAGACTAATCCCCCGATCACTATCTATGATATTAAATCTAAGCTCTGACTGTTTGAATGTGAGAGTGGTCAGCAGTTATTCAGATGATGTAAGCAGGGGCAAGATCATGAAGGATCTTAAGTTAAAAAGTAATGAATTTAAGTTTTATTTTGACCTAGTAGAAATACCTTTAAAGGGTTTTCAGTGGGGGCCTGTTTTAGAAAATCAGTTTTCATGCAGTTTGAGAATGGTTTGAAGATTGAAGGCATAGAGACTATTTAGAAGACTAATGATGTAATTGGACTCTACTTAATTATGTTTGTTTGCTTTTTTATTACCACAGTGTTTGTTCTTTTATACTTTTTGTCAAGAATTACAAATACTTTATTTAACACATCTATGTTTTTTATAGATTGATTTAAGAAATTTTAAGTTTCAACATATTATCTTAAGATGTGTTAAAGCCTATACACATAGACTTGACATAGTCTAATTACATTTAGAAATATGTAAGACCATTTGAGGGATTCAGCTCTGACTTGAGTTAGCCACAATGAACAGAACTCTGACTCAAGGGTAACTAATTCAGTAGCTTGTTGACATAGAAAGTTTTCAGGGCAAAGCCAACTGTCTCCATGCCATTGATCTCCATGGACATTTGAATTGATAGTATGAAGGATACTCTATTAGTTGCTGAGGGTCCAGAGAAGTACAGGTAAAGGCATGGCTCCTCTTTTGAGGCTTATGGCTTATTTGGAAAAGCAAGACTGCTACATAAATAGAAATAACAAAGTGTTTCCATGATTAGGTAAATGAATGGTGTGTGGGCATTAGTATTATTGTGGCTAGAATTGTTAGGAAAGTTTTTATGGAGGTAAAATAACTTGAGTATATCCTAAAGGATTTTGATAAGTGAAAAGAGCAGTGGGGATGACATTCTAAATGAGACCATTGGGGGATCCCTGGGTGGCTCAGCGGTTTGGCACCTGCCTTTGGCCCAGGGCACGATCCTGGAGTCCTGGGATCGAGTCCCACATCGGGCTCCCTGCATGGAGCCTGCTTCTCCCTCTGCCTGTGTCTCTGCCTCTCTCTCCCCCTATGTCTATCATGAATAAATAAATAAAATCTTAAAAAAAATAAATGAGACCATTGGAAACTCCAATTATGTTGCTGTTTTTTTCAGGGAATAATGTACAAATCTTACATAGGCTGAAAGATTTTCAGAGTATGATAAGTAATATAAGTCAAGCTTCGAGAAGTGAATTAGAGCTTTGAAAGCAAACTTTATTTTTTTTTCAAGCTTTATTATTGAAAGCAGTGAATCCTCAACAATTCAGCTCAGTAATCATATGTGATCATTTATTTGCCAAATACCTTTCAGGCTCTTTGAATTAATAATATTTCAGCTGTCTGTAATTAATCAGGAGATGTTTGGCACATTATTTAAATACTCTCAGCCTTAGTTTCCTTATCAGTATTAATAATCCTGTATGTAACAAATAGCTCTCAAACTTGTGGGTAAATGACAAAGCATCCAGCACAATGCCTGGTAAATGATAGTAGGCATTCTGTAAATATTTATCTTTCTTCTTTCAGGATTCTTAGTATTTTCTTACTATCTCCAATTACTTAACTCTCTTAGCTCACGAAAGTCTAAATACGGTTGTATATTAACATAGATTTTATTTTCTAAACATATGAGATAACATGCTTTCATTAAACTCTGTTCATTAAAATTCACTGTCTTAGTTTACTTTCTTTGATAATGTAACAAGCAGTCCTGTTTAGTTGTCATTTATTAGAGGGAATCATATGAAATTGCCAATATGTGAGTTACTGACCTAAAAAATAGTAATTTCATGTGCTTCAGCTAATATAACTTGTAATGATAACTGGTATAACAGTGGATGATTAAAGTACTTATGTAGAAAAAAAAGTACTTATGTAGAATTTTCTTTTTTCATTTTCCTTTTTAAGATCCTGATAATTTAAGCGACTCTCTCTTTTCTGGTGATGAAGAAAATGCTGGGACTGAGGAAATAAAAAATGAGATCAATGGAAATTGGATTTCGGCATCCTCCATTAATGAAGCTAGAATTAATGCCAAGGCAAAAAGGCGCCTGAGGAAAAACTCATCCCGGGACTCTGGCAGAGGCGATTCAGTCAGTGATAATGGAAGCGAAGCCCTTAGAAGTGGAGTAACTGTACCAACCAGTCCAAAGGGAAGGTTGCTAGATAGGCGATCCAGATCTGGGAAAGGAAGAGGACTACCAAAGAAAGGTTGGTATATTCCATGTCTGAGGAAACGAATAGAAAAGCGTATAGCTGGTTCTTTACATTATGGTTTCCTTGTTCCAGGAATGTAAGAAACTTAAACAATGATAATGCAAGATTTTATGATTTATGTATATTTTTACAAAGTAATCTGAAGACCATCCCACATTTTCCTTAAATTGAGTGATTTTTCTGGAGGAGATTATTTTTTGGAACAGAACTTTATTATTTTCACAAAATACACATTTTTTTTTTGTACAGTTAGGAATTGTACATGTGTTCTCTAACTTGCTTGAAAGTAGGGTCAGAAATTCATCATACCTGGGGCACCTGGCTGGCTCAGTCAGTGGAGTATGTCACTCTTGATCTTGGGGTCATGAATTTGAGTCCCTCATTGCAGGTAGAGATTACTTAATAAATAAAACTTTAAAAAATTGATCATACCTATTATCTAATGAATGTAATTATGTCCTTTTTAAAGAATACATGATAAATATAAATTAGATAAATATAAATTAGATTGGTAATAACTGAAACAATTTTAATGATTTCGTAGATCCAAGTTCCAAGTTTGTTCGTTCTTTTCTTACTATCCATCCTTTCATTCATTCAATGTAATTTATTACAAGATTTTATTTTTTAAGTAACCTTTATTACCTAACATGGGGCTTGAACTTGCAACTCCAAGATCAAGAAGAGTTGCATGCTCTACCAAGTGAGCCAGCCAGGCTCTAGTATCTTTTGGAAACTATAGTAGACTGGTCTATTTCACTGCCATGTCTAGTGCCTGGAGTAGTGATGAGCAGTTGTAGATACTTAAGTATTTGTTGATGAGGGATGTTAGCTTTGGTCTGTGGTAGGATTTTGATACAATTTGGAGATTTCACAGCTTCTGAATGTGTAAACTTCAATTTATAGCCTAGGATTCATGTAAAATGTTTTTGTGATTGGTCAAAAACTTTTGCTGAATGACTCTACAACCATTGGTTGGATCATAATGAATCCTAGTAATCAGATTCTGTTTTGCTCTAATCTTGGTATAACTACAACCTCAAAGAAATTGGTGATACTGTAAAGTTCTTCAAAAATTATGCAATCTATTAAGCGTTATAAAAATACTTCAATAAGTTTATGTAGATAAACCACCTTGAAAATTGGAATTGTTAAACTCCAGCTGGTCAGTTTGTATATAGAAGTACAGAGAAAGGGCAGCTCAGGTGGCTCAACAGCTTGGCACTGCCTTCAGCCCAGGGTGTGATCCTGGGGACCCGGGGATCAAGTCCCATGTCAGGCTCCCTGCATGGAGCCTGCTTCTCTCTCTGCCTCTCTCTCTGTCTCTCTCATGAATAAATAAATAAAATCTTAAAAAAAAAAAAGTACAGAGAAAATGATCAGTGCAGTTAATGCTTAAATAGCTTAGTTATTCATAACATTGCTAGTTGTCAAGTGTAGTTAATATGTATTATTACATTTAAAAAGTATTTAACATTGAAAAAACAGAGTGGAAACTGTGCTTTGTCAAATAATTTCTCCTTTATTGAGTTTTCTATGCCACCTCTTATTGGCCCAACGTATTTCTTTTTGTTTTGGTCTTATGAAATGTCAAATAAAATTTAGAGTTCAGCTATATCATCACATCCCCTGGGGTCCCTGATAATAGTTATTTTTCTGATTTTTGTTTTGTTTTTGCTTTCATTTTAAAGCATCTGCCTTTTTAGTTTTAACTGTAAGCTATTTCAACTCAATGTTTTAGAAATATGTTATATTTAATAATTACTGAAAAAGCAGGGATTAGAGAAAAAAGGTTTAAAGTATAACTCAACTGGAAAAAACTAGAACAGAAATTACAGTTTTTAAACTATTATTTAATATCTGAATATCTAGAATTATTTCAGATTTCAATAAAAATTTATGAAGTATGAAGTTTTGGTCTTTTCTTTCTCATTTCTAAACTTTTTCAGGTGGTGCAGGAGGCAAAGGTGTATGGGGTACACCCGGACAGGTGTATGATGTGGAAGAGGTGGATGTGAAAGATCCTAACTATGATGATGACCAGGTATCCATGTCTTTCTTTTTTATTTTTAATCTGTGTTTAAAATACAGGTTTTTTGACTTTAGGTCTGTAGTTTACTCATACATTTGTCAAATCATACATTCTGTATCTGTACTTGGTGCCTGTCACATTATATATATATGATTTATAGTGTGTGTGTATATATGTGTATACACATACATTAGTGTCTGTATCTAAATCATACATACACTCAGTACTTTCAGAGTTTTAGGTAAATTTTGGATTAGGAAACCAAATTAACTGATATATGTGTAATTTTCACTTCATTTCTGGAATCAAAAGTAGGTCTTTACCGATTCATGTAGGATTATTGGATTGACTTTTTTTAAAAAAGATTTTATTAATTTTGGTGGGGCTGGAGTGGGGGGAGAATGGGTATGAGTGGGGGGAGGGACAGAGGGAGAAGCACATTCTCTGTTGAGCAGGGAGCCTGATCAAGGTTCAGTCCCAGGCCCCTGGGGTCATGGCCAAAGCTGAACTAGACATTTAACCAACTGAACCACCCAGGTGCCCCAAGTTGACTGTTTTTCGATAAATTCTGTTGAGGTAATACAACAGAGTTTTTATGGCAATGATAACTGGGAAGAATGTATATTCTTTTGAACATCATAAGATTTATAGATATGAGGTTCCTTTTAAAATATTACTGTTTAGGATGGTAACTCTGTGGTAAATTTTATTTTGGGATTATCTTTTTTCTTGACTATCTTTTTTTCAGTGTTGAGAATGTAAATTTTGTTTTTCTTCCTTATGCTGTACCTTTTATTCCAATAACTTACTCCTTCCATAGCTGGAGGCCCCTCCCCTCTGGCAACTGTCAGTTTGTTCTCTGGGTTTACAAGTCTGATTCTTTTTTTGTTTACTTGCTTTTGATTCCACATATGAGTAAAATCATACGATATTTGTCTTCCTCAGCCTTATTTCACTTAGCTTATTTCACTTAGATCCAAGAGGATGTAAATTTTTAACAGATTTTATAATGAACATATATATTTTTAATGGAAAATTTCTAACTTAGACAATAAGTAGAATAGTATAACGAAAATGCTTGTACTCATCTCCCAGCTTTACCAACTTCAATAATTAATAACTCATGGTTAATCTTGTTTTATCCTGTGCCTCCATATATTTTTCCTCTTGTATCCCCCTGCATGCATTCCACACCCCAGGCTCTGGATTATTTTGAAGCAAATCCCAGACATCATGGCATCTGTTTTGAAGTACTGTCTTTGCATGAGATAACACAAGGTGATGAGAATTACAGACCGGAAATTATCAGGGCATATGTTAGATTGTTTTTATTCCATATTGTTTGTATAACTATTTTAGTTAATTGTTGGACATGGAAATATTTCTAAGAGAACATGAAAAAATGTAGGACTCAAATACCATAGAATCTTTGCTAAATATTCTAATCTTGTCTGAATCGTTATGTCCATTAATTTATAACTCTTTCCCTCCCAGGAGAACTGTGTTTATGAAACTGTAGTTTTGCCTTTGGATGAAACAGCATTTGAGAAGACTTTAACACCAATCATACAGGAATATTTTGAGCATGGAGATACTAATGAAGTTGCGGTAGGTTTAAAATTGGAAGTATGATTTATTTAATATAGTAAAGAAAACACTGTTAAAAGAAAAACATCATATCCAAAATGATCTTGAATCACAGAATAAATTTAATAAGTATTTTTTTTAAAGGTCTCATTTATTTATTCATGAGAGACACAGAGAGTAGCAGAGACACAGGCAGAGGGAGAAGCAAGCTCCCTGTGGGGAGCCTGATGTGAGACTCGATCCCGGAACTCTGGAATCATGCCCTGAGCTGAAGGCAGATGCTCAACCGCTGAGTCACCCAGGCGTCCCACGTTTAAGCATTTTCTTTTGCATAAATGAATTTCTAAGAAGTGGAGTAAAATTTCTTTAATATAGATTAGCTCTTTCCTTTTTGGCATGTGATGAGGGCTATATGCCATTTTTCCCCCTGAAAAACAGCACAGTAATATTTTAACAATTATTGTAGTTATATATTTTTATAATTTATAGTGTATAAAATAATAATTTCTAGCATCTATAGACCTTCTTAAACCTCTTCAAGGATCTCAGTTAAAAATGACTGATTTAGTTCTATTTTTTTTGACATTCATTTAAATGCTCAGGATTAAGATAAAATTTATCTTTGTAGTCTATCCAAAAGAAAGAGAACATAGATACAAAGATTTGAAAAAGAATATATGCAGAAACCAAGAGAAAAAGTGTATTTTTGAAACATAATTTGTAGGATGCCTGGGTGGCTCAGCAGTTGAGCCTCCGGAACTCCAGGATCAAGTCCCACGTCGGACTTCCTGCAGGGAACCTGCTTCTCCCTTTGCCTATGTCTCTGCTTCTCCCTGTGTCTCTCATGAATACATTAATAAAATCTTAAAAAAAAAAAAGAAACATAATTTGCACGGGAATATTTCCTGTGTTATGAATTGTTCATAAAGTAAATCTAAAAAGGTAAAATAAAGCTACCTAACTAGGATTACAGACTTGAAGTACTAAAATGGCAACTTTTTTTTTTTTTAAGATTTTATTTATTTATTCATGAGAGTGACAGAGAGAGAGAGGCAGAGACATCATCGGTGGAGGGAGAAGCAGGCTCCCTGCAGGGAGCCTGATGTGGGACTCAATCCCAGGACCCCAGGATCATGCCCTGAACCAAAGGCAGATGCTTAACCACTGAGCCACCCAGGCCTTCCCCCGCCTTTTTTTTCAAATTGCAATTCTTTGAAGGCTTTTATAATTTTTTATTTATTTATTTATTTTATTTATGGTAGTCACACAGATAGAGAGAGGCAGAGACATAGGCAGAGGGAGAAACAGGCTCCATGCACCGGGAGCCTGACATGGGATTCGATCCCAGGTCTCCAGAATCGCGCCCTGGGCCAAAGGCAGGCGCCAAACCGCAGCGCCACCCAGGGATCCCTATAATTTTTTTTAAAAAATATTTTATTTATTTATTTATGATAGACACAGAGAGAGAGAGAGAGGCAGAGACACAGGCTCCATGCAGGGAGCCAGACGTGGGACTTGATCCCAGGTCTCCAGGATCACGCCCCGGGCCAAAGGCAGGCGCCAAACTGCTGCGCCACCCAAGGATCCCATGAAGGCTTTTATAATTTAGACTCTTGTACTTCATACTGGGCTTTCTTAGTTTGTCTGATACCATGAGATCTGATATCTTTAGATTTGTAGGATTTGAACATAAATATTTGTTGGGTTTTTCAAAGATTTTATTTATTAGAGAGAGAGAGAGAGCACAAGCAGGGGAGTAGCAGAGAGAGGGAGAAGCAGGCTCTCTACTGAGAAGGGAGCCTGATGTGTGGCTCAATCTCAGGACCCTGGGATCATGACCTGAGCAGAAGGCAGATGCTTAACAGACTGAGCCACCCAGGTGCTCCTAAAACAAATATTCATTCAGTACATACCATGTGAAGGAATTTGTAATAGGTTTTTCCTGCCCTTCTGAAGCTTGGTCAAGTGAGGAGAAATGATATTATAAACAGATTATTAAAATAAAATGTAAAGCCCTCTGTTGTAGAGGTAGAGTTTAAGTATTATAGGGGCAGACCATTGAAATCCTATCTAGGGCAGCCCCAGTGGCTCAGCAGTTGAGCATCTGCCTTTGGCCCAGGGCATGATCCTGGAGACCTGGGATCAAGTTCCACATCAGGCTCCCTGCATGGAGCCTACTTCTCCCTCTGCCTGTGTCTCTGCCCCCCTTTATCTTTATCTTTATCTTTAAATAAAGATTTAAATAAAAAATCTTTAAAAAAAAATGAAATCCTATCTATCTAGCATGGGACTAGTGGTATACTATGTATACTTATTAACTGAGTAGTACTATAAGCACAGTGTTATGGAAGCATAAAATTGAGATGATTCTGAGCTACATAAGAATGATTAGAAGTTTGCCAGGGTAAGATGGTTGAAGAGTTTTCCAGAAAAGAGAAGTATCCTGTTTGTTTGTTTATTTTTTAAGATTTTATTTTTTTATTCATGAGAGACAGAGAAACAGAGATATAGGCAGAGGGAGAAGCAGGCTCCTTGTAGGAGCTTGATATGGGACTCGATCCCAGGACATGGAGATCACACCCTGAGCGAAAGGTAGACACTCAACCACTGAGCTACCCAGGTGTTCTGAGAAGTATCATGTTTAAAGGCAGTGAGTTAGTTCAAGCACAGTTCAGGAAAGATGAAATTCAGTGGGAAGAAACTTTTAACAAGGACAGCATTAGGTGGCTGTGAAAATAGTTCTGGCACCCTTTTAGCTGTATAACACGGTTTAAATACTTTGATAGATGTATAAGTAAAAGGGAAGGTACTCTAAGTTACTCTGAGTAACTGAGTTACAAGTTAGCCTCTAGGGACATACTGCCTATATTCAACTTCCAACTTGGCCACTCCAGCTATATGTCCTTAGCAAATACTCAATTTTTCATTACTTTGGGTATGATGATACCTCCCTGAAAGGGTTGAGTCTTTTTTTTTTTTTTTAAAGAATTTTTTTTTTTTTTAAATTTATGATAGTCACACACAGAGAGAGAGAGAGAGGCAGAGACACAGGCAGAGGGATAAGCAGGCTCCATGCACCGGGAGCCCGACGTGGGACTCGATCCCGGGTCTCCAGGATCGCGCCCTGGGCCAAAGGCAGGCGCCAAACCACTGCGCCACCCAGGGATCCCTGAAAGGGTTGAGTCTTAAATAAGATAATAGAAACTAAAGTGGCTGTTACAATGCTTGATACATTATATACAGTAGTTAGTATTAGCAGCTGCTATTATATTTTTAATAGGAAAGTTTGACTTAGTCCCAGCATTTAAAGAAATAACTTGACTTAAAAACAATTGTTTAAGATCTTCTTTTAAACTTTTATGAACAGTATAAAGTAAACTTTAGTGGGAAGAGAAAACTTAGAGGAAAGGTAGACTATAAACAGCTTATGATAATATGAATCTTACCACAAATATTCATAGAAAAAATATTCCTAGAAATTAGGAACACCTGACTGGCTCAGTTGGAAGAGTATGTGACTCTTGATCTTGGGGTTGTGAGTTTGAGCCCCATATTGGTTTTGAGATTATTTAAATAAGAAAAATTTTTTTAGAATTATAAGACACAGGGTTAATTAATTCCTAAAATCAAACTTATTAGCAGTATATAGCTTAATACTGTTTTAGGTATAATTCACATTTTTTTTTTTAAAGACTACTTTTTTTTAATTTTTTTATTTATTTATGATAGTCACGGAGAGAGAGAGAGAGGCAGAGACACAGGCAGAGGGAGAAGCAGGCTCCATGCACCGGGAGCCCCGACGTGGGATTCGATCCCGGGTCTCCAGGATCGTGCCCTGGGCCAAAGGCAGGCGCCAAACCGCTGCGCCACCCAGGGATCCCTATAATTCACATTCTTGAGTTCAGTGATGTTCAGATAGTTAAAGCTTGCCAAATGGATCAACATTTAATTTATATGCATAGAAAGATGTATTTATCCTATTCTATAAAATTGACTGCTTTTCTGATTATTTCCAGAGGAAAAGGTAAGGATATATGGATAAAATCTTGAATTTTCAAAAATAAAATTATATTGAATTAAAGGCAATTGACATACCTTCTAGTTTTTTTTTTTTTTTTTCCTTTTTTAATAGGAAATGTTAAGAGATTTAAACCTTGGTGAAATGAAGAGCGGGGTACCAGTGTTGGCAGTGTCCTTGGCATTGGAGGGAAAGGCTAGTCATAGAGAAATGACATCTAAGCTGCTTTCTGACCTTTGTGGGACAGTAATGAGCACAAATGATGTAGAAAAATCATTTGACAAATTATTGAAAGATCTACCTGAACTGGCATTGGATACTCCTAGAGCACCACAGGTTTGTGGCTCTTCTTTTTATTCATTCTCTTCCCCACTACACTTCCAATTATAGAAATAATTCATGTTCCTAGGAAATTTTAGTAGATAAAGAGGACAAAATGACCTGTATTTTTTACCACACAAAAATAGCCCTCTGACATTTTAGTGTATTTTGTCTAGCTGTTTTTCTTTTCTTTTTGTTTTTCAAACACAGTTTTCATCATACTATAATTTTATATTTTGCTTTTCCACCCATGCTCTGTATAGTTTGTAGTTCATTGCTTTTGCTGTCTTTATATTCTCTATTATATGTGATTAAGCTATTGTATGAGCTAGGATTTCAAAAATATATAGATTGTTATAATTGAAGATTGAACTGGCTTGAGTGATGTTTACTATAAAAAGAATCATAAAAAGAATCATAAATAAGTCTGTTTTATAGCTTTGTGGGGAAATAATTAGAAAATTAATGATTTATGTTGCTGTTTAGATTCTGTTCTCAGAGCCTTATATTTTTATTAGATTTGATACATGCTGATACTATAATGTGACTTTCTGGTTTGAAAATGAAAAGTGTGAAATTGTTGTTATTGACCAAAGTTTTAAATCAAGGTAGGAGTTTAATTTAGGAATAGAGTTATAGGTCAGTTAATTCTGTTTCTGTTATACTGTTTCTGTTATACTTTCCTATGACTGATGGTAGTCTGTGTAAGGTATTGAGCTATGATTCAGGTATGGACTTTTTTTTTGCTTTTTATAGCAATACTCATATTAAAAAACTGATTACATAAATACATATTATAGAATTTTTGAAAAATAAAGTCAAAAGGAAGAAAGGCCAGCAAAAATAACCATTGTTAACTATTAGCATTTTGTTGTTAAATCTGTTTTACTTTCTGTGGGTATGATTTTTTATGTATGATTTTTATATATCTTTGCATTTTTTGTTTTAAAAATGAAATTATACTGTATGTGCTATTTTATAAACTTCATTTTTCTTACACCATAAAATGTGGTAAATGTATTCCCTAATGACCACATAGTATACCTTCTTATGTGTCATTTAACCATACCCTTATTGTTGGACACGAGTCGTTTCTAATTTTTGTAAGCAATAATGCTATGAAAAGGAGTGCCTGGCTGGTTCAATCTGTGGAATAGGTGACTTTTGGTCTCAGGGTCATGAGCTCAAGTCTTACATTGGATGTGGAGCTGACTTTAACAACAACAAAAAGAAATAATTCTATGAATATACTTTTAGATAGAAACTTCTACACAAAGTTTTCTCTGTACAATAAATTATTTTGATCAAAGAATTTTTGAGAAAACCTAGTCCTATGTTTTTGTTTGATTCTAGAAGAGAGTTTTCTCTTGAATTTAGGCCATTGGCTTAACAAATATTTTTGACTATACTATGTTTCAGGCAGGTATTGGGAAATTCAGTATTGAGCAAAACTGATGTGTGTCTGCCCCATGGTACTTATCTTGAAGGTTAAGATGTGGGAGCATAAGCCAACCATAACTAGCAGGTGCTAAATTGATGTCTTTGAATATTCCGACATGTCTTAGATATTGACTGTGTAATTCAGTCAGTCTTCATCATTGGTGTGTTTAGAAATTGTGTCCTGTAAAGGTTTATTTTAGGGTGTTTTATATAGCTTTTTTTTTTCTTATTGTAGTTGGTGGGCCAGTTTATTGCTAGAGCTGTTGGAGATGGAATTTTATGTAATACCTATATTGATAGTTACAAAGGAACTGTAGATTGTATACAGGCTAGGTAAGTAAATTAATTTTCCTACTTAGAATTTCAAAAGGGGAAAATTCTACAGGATTTATTGAAATGATATTTGAATTAATCAGACATTGTAGACATCTGTCATTTGTGTGCATTCTCCACTGCTAAAATTGAGAGATTGTTGACATGATATTAACAGGAAGAAGATATATTATAATGTAGAAGTTTGGTATCTTAGCTAAACCATCCGTTACCTTTATGTCACACCTCTCTTCCCTGGGCCTCAGTTTCCTTATTTATAAAATGGAAGATTGCACTGAGAATATTTAAGGTCTGTTCCAGATTTTACATTCTGTAATTATTTACTATTCTGATAAGATGGATAGTATTAACAAAGGAGCCCTATTTCCTATTTTATATTTATCTGCTACAGCAATATTAGGAAATTTTTTCACTCTTGGTTTTTGGTATAATTTAAGCTAAATGTAATATTTGGGAGTCATCTGTATGATTTTTAGAATTTTCTAGAAACATAGATTTGGGGGAACCCTGGGTGGCACAGCGGTTTGGCGCCTGCCTTTGGCCCAGGGCGCGACCCTGGAGACCCGGGATCGAATCCCATGTCGGGCTCCTGGTGCATGGAGCCTGCTTCTCTCTCTGCCTGTCTCTGCCTCTCTCTCTCTCTCTCTCTCTCTCTCTCTCTCTCTGTGAGACTATAATAAATAAAAAAAAATTAAAAAAAAAAAAAGAAACCTAGATTTGGTCCTAGCCATGTATTAGATCTTAGGTATAGCTCTTAATTTTTTAGGACTACGCAGATCAGAGTACAGTGATTGCCCTGGTGGGAAGGTGTAGATCTATGTAAAAGTTAAGTTTTATGCAAAATGTTTTTTCTTAGTATAATTATTTTGTAATAAGTTTAGTTTTTTTTGACTGAGAAATAAAAATGAGTATGAGAATAATGAAAAAAGTAACTTTTTTTTTTTTTTTGCTCCCAACTTTTAAAAAGTTGCTTTTTAAAAGACTTTTGAGTTGCTTTCATGTTACATGAAAACTTTTAGGGATGCCTGGGTGGCTCAGCGGTTGAGCATCTGCCTTTGGCTCAGGGTGTGATCCTAGGGTCCAGGGTCAAGTCCCACATCAGGCTCCTTGAAGGGAGTCTGCTTCTCCCTCTGCCTATGTCTCTGCTTCTCTCTCTGTGTCTCTCATGAATAAATAAATAAAATCTTAAACAAACAAACAACTTTTAAATCAGCCTCAAACATGTCCAAGTTGTCACAGATATTTGTTGTTATTGTGTTTTTTTTTTTTTTTTTTTTTTTTTTTGGTAGAGCTGCTCTGGACAAGGCTACTGTGCTCCTGAGTATGTCTAAAGGTGGAAAACGCAAAGACAGCGTGTGGGGTTCTGGAGGTGGACAGCAGTCTGTTAATCATCTTGTTAAAGAGGTAACTACTGGGTATTGTCTTTAACTTAATTTACATGTATTTCTTTAGGGAAGTAAACTATGCCCTCTAGCTGGCATTTTTGCAGAGAAAAATTAAGTTCAGGTTTAAAGCTACTGATGGAAAATTGGATAACCTTCGTATATTTGGCTTTATACCCTGGTGCTATAAATTATACAATAATTATATAATTATTATTAAATTTTTTATGGTTTCTGACTTAAAAGTAAGACTAAGTTAAAAGGGCTTTCAAAGGAGGGCTGTATTTGAATCTCAAAGGAATGCCTGAAATTCTTTTTATATTGATATTTAAAATTTTTCAGATACTGTCAAGATAAGACCTCCTATTTTGTAGTTATTCAATAAAGAACTATATTTTTATATATGAATAATTTGAAACGATACTCTTAGATCATAAGTGATGAATTATGAACACTAGGGTAGATCAGAGTAGTAAATTTTTGTAAGGAAATTCACTACCTGTATGCATGCTTTAAAAGTAAAAATTATTTATTGCATTAAAATGCAAGATTTATTATCTATGGATTTTTTTTCTGGCAATAAAGTAATATTCTGTAACAGGAAACGAGAAAAAGTAATCTTATTTGCAGATTGTTAAGAAAATTAGAAGATTTATAGCTCATGTGCTTCTGATTTTTGAGTATAATCTTTTCATGTGACTAGAGTTTTGATATTTAATCTTTTAATGATATGCGTTTCTAGTTTGGGGGTTAAGGAGCTGAAAGTACAGATTTTTGACCAGTTTGCTTTTCTATATCTTAAGGTAGATAAGCTGGTGTTTGTAATATCATGATCACAATATTTGCTTTTAAAAAAATTTTCAAGTTGTTAGGAAGATTGAGGTATAAACACAGTCAAGATATCGGCATTTTGTCAAGAAAATTACATAAAAGGCATCTAGATGGGAAAGGAAGAAGTAAAACTATTTGTTCTCAAATGACATGATCTGTATACAGAAAATCTGAATCTACAAAAAAAAAAAATGAAAACAACCAAACTGTCAACAAAATAAATGAATTCAAGGTTGTAGAATATAAGATCAATATACAATATTCAGTTCTAGTTCTGTACACTAGCAATGAATGATATGAAGTGAAATTAAGAAACAGTTGCTTTTACAATAGAATAAAAAGAATACTAAAATGCTTAAGAATAAATTTAACAAAAGAAGTGCAGAACACAAAAACTGCAAAAAAATTTAACACAAGAAGTGCAGTACACAAAAACTGCAAAACATTGTTGAAATGAATTACACCTAAATAAGTAGAAAGATATCCAAATATCCTGTGTTTATGGATTGGAAGACATAATATCGTTAAGATGGTAATGGTCAGAGCACCTGGCTCTCTCAGGTGGAGGAGCTTGTGACTCTTGCTCTCAGGGTTATGAGTTTGAGCCCCATATTGGGTGTAGATATTACTAAGAAAAAAAAAAACTTAAAAAAAAATATGGCAGTACTCCCCTAAAATTAGTATTTTGAGAGACTGCCAAACTATTTTATGTGAATTATCTCAACCAAAAAATAGTCAAGATAAAAGTTGAAATAAAACTACCAATATAGGAGTGTGAGGTTGACATGATCTGGATTTTCATTTATTTTTACATGGGAGGATAGTTGGACCAAGAGGACTTTTAGAAATGTATATATGTTTTTATAATTTATCATTCTAGGGCATGTGGGTGGCTCAGTGGTTGAGCATCTGCTTTTGGCTCAGGGCATCCTGGGATCAAGTCCTACATCAGGTTCCCCATAGGGAGACTGCTTCTCCCTCTGCCTGGGTTTCTCCCTCTCTCTCTGTGTCTCTCATGAATAAATAAATAAAATATTAAAAAAATAATCATTCTAGAAAAATGCATGGAACCCGATAGGAAACATTTAAATACTTTAAGTTGCATAACAAAGTTACAAAACTATAATAATTAATATAATTTAAATAATAAATGTATTACCTTATAATTATAAAATAAAAACACTTTAGTCAAATGCCATGCTTTAAATGTTTACTTTCCTAAAGCAGGATAATAGGAATTATTAGGATGTTTTCTACTGATCAAATTTTATTTTACCTTTCATGAAAATGCATTGCAGGAGTTGAAGTCAAAGAGACTTAAATGAGATTATTTAACAGCCTGCATTCATTGAGCATGTACTGGGTGCAAAGGTGATTTTAACAGGCAGTTAAAACTATAGGGAAGAACATTCTGATTGAAGTGCTTGTGCTGGAAAACTTTTTCACCTTTTCTCTGGAGTCATAGAGGTTATTGTGTTTGAACAAGAAAGTCAAGTCTTGCCTCTTTAGCTACAACTAGAAGCAGAATTGCTGATGAACATCTTAGATAATGGGTTTCAAATCCTTAGCTGTAGAGAAAAGAGAAAGAATATAAACATTTTGCTCTGTATAGTAAAGCTCTATTATCACTCATTTTTTGGCTGCTAGTGCACTAAGGTCATCCTGATGGAAGTGAAAGTTTGTGACACTTTATTAAAAATATATTTTGAGACTTTCAGTCAGTGCCCTCTAGTGGTCTTTAAAATCCCTTGTTTTATAGTGAGCACTGAAGTACTTCGGTTACAACTCAAGCCACGTACATCTAAAGATTACTAGATCTCAGTGATCATTAAGACACACTGAAGCACTGTATTCTCTTTATAATTATGAACCACTTAAAAATTGGAGGTTTACTTTTTAATTATGAAAAAAACTTGTAATAGTGTCAAGTCTCTATGTTCTTACACAGCTGTTTGTGATCTGCCTTGAGAGTAAATAAATCGTATAGGCAAAAAGCAGTTCTTTTTGGTAAAAATTAGGAATTTTAGGGGTGCCTTGGTTGTTTAGTTGGTTGAGCATCAGAAGTTTGGTTTTGGTTCAGGTCCTGGTCTGGCATTTGTGGGATGGAGCCCCACCACGGGTTCTGTGCTGGGTGTGGAGCTTGCTTCATGTTCTTTCTCCCTCTGGCCTTTGCCCCTCTGTGCCACATGTGCGTGGGCGCGTTCACGCTCTCTCTCTAAAAAAATGAATGAATAAAATCTTTAAAAAATAAAAATTAGGAATTCTAACATTTCAATTTTTAAATTTGATAGATTGATATGCTGCTGAAAGAGTATTTACTCTCTGGAGACATATCTGAAGCTGAACATTGCCTTAAGGAATTGGAAGTACCTCATTTTCACCATGAGCTTGTATATGAAGTAAGATTACTTTGACATTCCAAAGAGAATTATTAAGTGTTCCTTTTTGAACCATCATGACTTAATACTTCTTTAGGAATATATGTCTTTTTTTTTCCTTTTTTAAAAAATTTAATGTTCAGGGAGTAAGTTTTTAAAAATTTTTTGTAATGATTATAATTACATACCAGACAAAAGCGATCTGATACATTTTAGGAGCAGTTTCTTACATGAATTAATGACCAAACATTCGTTCATTCAATTTTTAGGCCATTGTAATGGTTTTAGAGTCAACTGGAGAAAGTACATTTAAGATGATTTTGGATTTATTAAAATCTCTTTGGAAATCTTCTACCATTACTCTAGACCAAATGAAAAGAGTAAGTATAACATTTTGAATACTTTTTAGACTTATACCTTAAATGTAAAATGTTTGAATAAAGATTATGAGTTGTCAATGAAATGTTCTTTTAGGTATGTTTAATAGTACTGTGCCTATAGTATTGTTTTTTTGTTTTTAATGGTTGTGGTTATTTGACCTCTTGTAGCCATTTCTTGGAACGTAACACTTTATTGGGTTTTTTAACTTTTTTTTTTTTTTTTTAAGATGTGATTGTTCTTCCTCAGGAGTTCTGTTTTTAAGTTATGATAGTTTCAATTTTATATCTGGCAACAAACATGAACATGATCTTTTAACAAATATACTTTAAAGCATTTAATTTATTCATATTGATGAGATTCTTGTCTTACATTTTTAAAAAGTGTGGTAAGTGTATATAGAGAAGTAGATAGTGAAGAAATATGTCCAATGTCTGAAATCTACCTAAACTCTTTTGAGAGAACAGTTTTAAAGAAATTATACGTATGTCTATTTTTCAAGGATCACATCTGGATTAGATCAGTCTAATTTTATGGACATTTAAGGCCTTAACTGTAGCTTGATGACAGTGATGGGTTGTATGGCATTATGTATTTCATTTGGGCTAACAATTCTGTATATAATTTTATTGTTTTAGGGTTATGAGAGAATTTACAATGAAATTCCGGACATTAATCTGGATGTCCCACATTCATACTCTGTGCTTGAGCGATTTGTAGAAGAATGTTTTCAGGCTGGAATAATTTCCAAACAACTCAGAGATCTTTGTCCTTCGAGGTATGTTATTACTTTTTCCACGTAAAATATTGGTGGCATGTTTGGAAGGCTAAGGTAATTTTCTGTCATTCCAGAAAAATAACACTATCTCCCCTGAAGCCACTCAAGAGTGAAAATCATCTGTTGTGAGCATATGGGAAAACAAGGGCGAAGTTTATTTTGCCCTTGGGCAAAGGGGTACTTCATGAACCCTTGGTTCATTGGAAGGAAACTAACTCTGTGTAGTAGTTCTTTGTACTAGGTTCTAAGTAGTTGAAATATTCAGAGTAGATATTATTTGCCAGTAAGATGAGAAAATTGAGGTTTAAAAAAAGTTAAAAAAAAATTGAGGTTTAAGGAAGTGTAATATACCTTTTCTAAGGTCACACGTAGTAGAGGCCAAGGATGAATCCTTACCTTTCCCGGCTTCAAAGATGTAGGCTCCCTCCTGTACTCCATGTAGCTTCTTTTTGCTCCTTCATGGAATGGAGAATTGAGGCTAATTGGACAAGTGTATGTGCATGATTCTTTGGAGATGATCTATTTGCACTACTAGGATCTCTTTGAGATATTGATGAATTTTTTTGTGGCTAAAATAAAGCTTATAATGAAGTTTATAAATAAATAGATATAAATGATAGCTAGGCTTGTGTACATTTGCTTTATGAACATTTTGTTTTTGTAATTTTTAATCTGAAAAAATTACAAAGCTTTGTTTTTATTGAAGTGGATTGTGAGAATTAAATCACAGAAAAATAGTTCCTGGTAGTGTCTTTTGCTTTACAAAATTTAGAAGCCATTAAGAGAGGAGAAAGGTACAGCTTAATGGCTTTGATAAAAAATGTTTGAAAATATAGGTCTCTAAAAATATGTAAATAGATCTCTGCTTGGTGACGGCATCATTTATGTGCCAAGTAGTATATACAAGTAAAAACTGTCAACTTTGGTTAAGAGTTCTTGCTACTTATTGCTTTGTTCCCCATTTCAGTTTCCTAATATTATGTCTGAAGCTTTTATGTGCAGGAAAATGTAGCTGATTTCTACTTAGACTATGAAAAGGGGTCAGCACTTTGGCACTAGCTTTTTAAGGTTTTCAGCCTCTGTTCACAAGTCTAACTGGTCATTTCTATTGTGGCTTTTACTCTCACGGATCAGTTAAGGAGATACCTAAATGTTCTTTTTATGCCATAGAATTTTGACTTTTTAATCCTCTACCCATTAGCTTAGTTGAGTGAAGTGCATATTTGTGTGTGGTATTGAATGCTTGCGCATGTTGGTCTAGGGTCAGAGAATGAGGGCTAGTCCTGAGCAAACTGTTTTCCACTTATTGCTTTAGACTGCTGGTCAACTGTTGCTACTGCTTATAGCTACATACAGCCTAAGTGTAGTTACAGTATGAAGCAAGGCCTCTTGAGTTTGAAATAGCAGGAATCCCGAAATGGGGCATAGAACAGAATTAATTGGGTTCTGATTTGTTTGTCCATGTACAGGTTATGGCTTTTCTACATTTGAGGGAAAATTACAAAAAATTTTTAAACATGGATATTTTCATAGGTTCTGTAGCTCTAGTTTGCATAACTCCAAATCATGTTGTCTTTGACTCCTGTTTAGTTTTTAAATACTAAAAGCATAATTGAAGGAAATATTAAAATTCTAAATAGCATGTTTGCTTTATATTTTAACTTTAACATGACTCCATTTGGACAATGAACTTATTTCAATAATTAAGCTTTTATTTAACTAAAAACTGCTTAGATTAGCAAGTTCATTTAATTTGTTATATTCTAGGATATATAGCAGGGAAACAGTCTTTTTCAAAAGAATTAGAGGCATGCTCACTTTTTTTCTTTTTTTTAACCTAATGACTAACCAAAAGAACTCATGGGCTTTCTTTTGTTTCTTTTTGGTCTTTAGTCAAAATTGGTATCCATTTTCATGTTTGTGTTCTTTCCGTTACAGGGGCAGAAAACGTTTTGTAAGTGAAGGAGATGGAGGTCGTCTTAAACCAGAAAGCTACTGAATATAAGAACTCTTACAGTCTTAGATGTTATTAAAAAATATAAATATATCTGAATTGTAAGAGTTGTTAGCACAGGTGTTTTGTGTTTTTTTTTTTTTTTTTTTTTTTTGAAGCACTTGTTTTTGGGTACAAGGCATTTCTGAAATTTTATAAACTTACAATTTAAGGGGAATTTTTAAAGGAAATGTTTTCTTTTTCTTTTTTTTTTTTTTTTGAGGGACAGAAGAGTAACCACTTCTTAAGTGGAATATTCTCATAAGCTACCTTTTGTAAGTGCCATGTTTATGACCTAATCATTCCAAGTTTTGCATTGATGTCTGACTGCCACTCCTTTCTTTCAAGGACAGTGTTTTTGTAGTAAAATCACTGGTTTATACAAAGCTTTATTTAGGGGGTGAAGTTAAGCTGCTAAAAACCCCATGTTGGCTGCTGCTGTTGGAATACTGTGCTTTGGGAGTAAAAAAAAAAAAAGAAAAAAGTTACTTCTTTGTCTTAAAGAATTTTAAGAAAATGAGTTAGTCATAAGACTTATTCATTTTTCCAGGGAACATACTGATTGGTCTTAAAGACTAGACAGTTAGATAAATGGTGGCTGGAACATCTATTTTTCTACAAAACTGGAAAAATGAACCTGGTTCTAAAAGAATGTATGACAAAATAAAACATGTGAAGCAGTGTTGATTCTTTATTGGGAGTACATTTATTTTAGGCCTTCTTAAAAACTTTTATCTATACAGCAAATTTTAAATCCTATCGGGGAGCATATTTGAAGCTAGTGAATTTAAACTTTGGTCTTTGCAAACTTTTAAATCAAAAAGTATAATAGTAAATTCTTTTAATATCTGTGGGAAATGCATACATGTTTTTTTGATCTTATCTATAAAGCTCAATGAAATTTGTAAAATATATCTTTCATCATTCTTAACTTGTTACTAATGTTTGTTATAAAAAATTATCTTCAGAGACTCAAAAAATTTTGCATTTATTCAGTGTCTGAGAAGATAGTAGCTACCAATAAGTAATAGTTCTCTAAAGAATGAGCACATTTCTAACCTCTTTTGCAGAGCCTAATTATTCAGCAAGGCCTCAAGGTCTATGCTAATTTAAATTTTCTATTACTGATTGTAGCAACCAGCCGAGAATTATATTCAGAATTTACAAAGGTATTCTTAGGAATATGCCCGTTACAGGGTTAGGGAGTCTCTTAGAACTAAAACTCCAAATTTAATGTTCATATTTATCTCATGGGCTCTTTCAAGCACCTATTTTTTTCTATTTTTAGGGTTTTGTGTTTGATACCTGGATGATAAGAGGTAGCATGGTAATTCTTCAGTCCTTAAAATCAGTATCATTAAAAGCTCAGGGACTACTTGAAAAGTGTAGGTTTCTTAAAAGTCAATTTAAGAAATAACAATTTTGTCATTATTGGTAGGACCAGTTGGTCAGGCAAAATAGCCTTAAACATGAAACACAAAATTCGTAATACAAAATTAAGTAATAATGTAAAAGCCTAAGAACACTTTGTATGAGATTAGAATGTATCTTCAAATTCAGTTTTTAATAAACATGTAAAGATTATCTGAATATAGAAGTTGCATTTAGTCACTTGTGCCTAAGAATGTTATCTACAAGACTGATAGTAGGAATGGTGAACAGTAATTTACGTTCTAAAAACTTGAGTTAAAAAAAACAACTATAAAATTTGGGTTCAAAGTTTTTTAATTACTCAAAGTACAATACAAACCAGAGTGTCTAAATTCACGAGTTTCATTAGTCTCGGGTATTTTTAATATTATTTAAAAGTACTGTTAGTTTCACTATCTTCAGCACACAGATGCAAATAATTGTCTATTGTTAATAGTAAGGTAGGTATTCTGTAAAAGTGCTAAGTTATTCAGTGAGTGATTTGCTGTTGTTCTTTTTCTGCCATTTCTTGTTGGCGAATCGTATCCTGGGCTGCTTGCTGCATTTTCTCCAGTTTTTCCAGAGTCAGAGATTTTAAGGGTAAAAGTTTGGGTTTACACAGCACCATTGTGGTTATATCTTCCACTGACAACTGCCCTAAGTTTAAAAAGAAATAATTTAGTGAGATGACTCAGTTGTATGGTGGTTTGAATTAGCTAGAACGAAGGTCTAAAGACTTAATCTACTGTCAATGAAAACTCTTGTTTTCAGTTACTTCAAATATATCAACATTTAATACTAGGGAGTTCATAAGGATGACATTTTTTAACTTCCTGCCTAAGATTCTAAGCAGAATCTATGAGAGAGAACATTTTGTGTCAGATGTTTAATTTGCAAAAAGACTTAGGAGAAATACATAGTGCATAAGAGTACTTAGTAAAAGTATGGTATTTAATACGAATATTCATTACTGAATGTTGAACTTAAACCATCAGCCTTTAACAACTGCTTGACGTGGGTTTCTTTTCCCCCACTTTCAGACCTTACTTAACATTATGGTCAATTATAATACTACTTTTTTTCACTGAAAATTTCATATTTTGAGTATAACAGGATTTTTAGGTTTAAGAAATTGCTTCACTTGTCATCCTTTTGCTGGAGAAAAAAAGTAATAGATGAGTTCTAACTCCCTAAAAGAAGCATAATAAAAGGGACAGTAAATATGGCATACTGGATGCAAAAGAGTTACAAATTTTAGCTGCTATCTGCCATTCCTGCTACTTTTTATTTAGGGTTCCTATAATATTCCATGACCTAAGTATTTGTGATTTAGATACCTTGTTTTGGAAGAACTTCGTGGAACATGGACTTCATTTCCGCCATATCTGAATTGTTGGATACAGCTAAGTCTTTTCCTTCAAAGAGAAATCAATTATTAATATTCAAGAATTAATTTACAAAGCATACTGCTTGAGGTATTTCCATTGTAGTTTAAGAAGTAAAATCACCTGGGTGTTATGCTATATGTTGGCAAACTGAACTCCAATAAAAAAAAATTAAAAAAAAGTAAAATCACAATTCCTATAGAAGATGAACTATCTTATCCTTGCATAATTTTCGTATTAATTTCCTGTGGGTCTTTTCATTGAAACAAAATTTGAGCGAGTTCACATAAGCTTAGATCTTGTCAACATTCTTTAATCAGTGGAGGTGTTAGTTTGTAAGGCTACATGTTCTAAATTTTTTTCCCTTGTGAAAAATTGGTAGGACTTCATCTTTTAAGTCATAATTACCTGATACCAGCTGAAGAAAACCAAAAGCATTTATATGTGGCCATTTGGTTCACTGATAGCATCTCCCAGAATGAATGAATGAATGATGTATCAGGTAAAAAATATTACCATTTGGAAAGTGGGGGAAGGCAGGTAGTTAGAAAAAAGAGGAGGTAGTAGGTACACATTCCCACATTTTTCTTTCTCCCTGATGTCTACTTTAATCCCTTTGCTATAATGACAAGCTTTATAGGATCAGTTACTGGCTACACAGCTGACATCTGTAAAGAAGCAATACAAATGGGTGAAACTGGCTCTTGAACAAGTGAGAGGTTGGCTTTCGTTTTATTACTTTCCTGTATTACAGGGATACTATATGCTAAAGTGCCAGCAAATACCTTCACCCTGAGTATTTTGTTAAGACAGCAGCGTGTACCAACTGGCTGATGACATTTGTTTGCAGGGTTACATTCCAGATTACTGCTATGCTGTAAATTCAAGGTATACTGGACTGTAATGTGTAGCATGATTCTTTTCCAAACAGGGATGCTTCTCCAGACAGTCCCACCCCTTCTGTGATATTTCACCATAGTGATGCAACCTTACCATGTGCCTTTCACAACATCACCACAGAAGATTTATTATTTATAAAGTGGTGATGCTGGCATGATGCCTGTCTACCGCCCACTGCAAATTAGTTTTAATCAAGTGAAGCTGCTTCTGGTCTCAGTCCCACTCTCCCACTACTTTGACATTTGTAATAAAAGCTTCCTACTCTATCCACGAAGCCTCTTCTTTCTTGTTCAAATTCCTTTTCTGGAACATCTTAAGTCCTGAGGAACCTCTATCTGTTTTCCAGAACTTTTGTCAGAATTTACCTCTACACTGTTCTTTTTGGGAGTGAAGATGAAATAGGGAATGGACCAGGAATAAAGCAACTCATCACTAACTGGAATCTGAGATTAGTGCAATAAGCAGCTACTTTTTTTTTTTAATTTTTATTTATTTATGATAGTCACACAGAGAGAGAGGCAGAGACACAGGCAGAGGGAGAAGCAGGCTCCATTCACTGGGAGCCCGATGTGGGATTCGATCCCGGGTCTCCAGGATCGCGCCCTGGGCCAAAGGCAGGCGCCAAACCACTGCGCCACCCATGGATCCCAGCTACTTTAGAATGCGTAACTTCTGCCACATTCTATTCTTGTTGCCTAGGCCTGCCAGTGGTACTTAGTGATCATTTCCCCTCCCCTTTTTTCCACATTTATGTTGAAGGCTAATAACTGCAGATCCGTCATTAGTCTGAATATAGCTATAATAAAAAAACAGCCTCTCCACTAAAATACCATAATGAAAATATTCACTAGGCTTTATTTGGTGCAAATCTGACATAATATGCTAACAGGGAGGACAGATATTACAGATATTGATAAATGTGAAGGGAATATAATAAAATTTTTTTATCACCAAATTTCTTACTAGCAAAACTGGATGAACCACTATATAGAGTAGCAACTTCCAGCTACTCAGAACTCAACGGCTATCCTTTTGTTCTCTCAATCTCTTTCACATCCAAAATATGGTCTGAGGAAAACAATGAAACTTGGTGCTCAACCAAACCGTAGTTCTCTGTTTCACTAAGCTGCCATTGTTACTGTAAAGGGTGTGGGGCCAAAGGCCTGGTAGGGAGTGGGTTGGGTCTGGTGTGGGGAAGATCAGCGCCAGCAGTCACTTGCCTGGGTGGAGTGTCTGCTTTACTAGGGTTGGTTATTGTCCTAGGCTTCCCCGCTAGGCATTGGCGGGAGAGAAACAGGAAGGGAAGGGCTAAAATAAGCAAGGTGGTGATTGGATGGCCCTCGTTGGTAAGGCTATATTGTCTTGATAATTAACTGTCCAGATAGTCCACAGGAGTAAGGGACTTTCTTTACCAGGTGGCCTGCTAATAGCCAGACATGGGTGGTGTAATGTGCCCTATGGAGTTGTGATTGCTCCTAAGGGTAATTATTATGTATGATAAGTGCGTAACACTAGGACATAGGGTCAAAGAAAAACCATACCAGCCATGACTGAAATTCATGTGTATCATACCAGTGCCATGTCAGTTCAATGAATATGTGTGTCTCAGTGCCTGGCTGGCTCAGAAGAGTATACAACTCTTTATTTTTTATTTTTTTGAGCAGACAACTCTTGATCTTGGGATTGTGAATTTGAGTCCCACGCTAGGTGTAGAGATGACTTAAAAATAATATCTTAAAAAAATTCGTGTCTATCACATGCAAAGCACTGTTCCTTAGTGAACAAAACATGAAACCCAAAACTTTTTGGAGCTTACACTCTAGAGTATGGAGAGAGAGAGAAATAATATAATTTTATAGTAAGTGCCATAGAATATTAAATAGTTTGAGGATTTAGGAGTGCTGGGGGGGGTACTGCATTTTAAGTAGGAAAATGATGATGGATTCATTATAAAGGTGAAAATCACTGCGACCTCATTTTGGTGGTGCATGTTACATTTTTTGAAATTGCAAAAAAGCCAAAAGCCTGATAGTATCTAGAGTTAGAGAAGGCATAGGGAAATGGGCAGTTTGGTGGGTGGGTTTCTTGATACAGGTTTTTTTTTTTTTTTTTAGAGGGATACTTTGTAGTATCTATTAATATTTTGTATTTTCTACTACAGCTAAATATGCACGTTTTCTTTGATTCAAATGTTCTTCTAGTAACAAGCTCTAAACAATGCACCAGTGTATAAAGATCTACGAATAAGAATGCTCATTAAAGCACAACACTGAATAGTAAAATGTTTAGCAATATGTCAAAGGCTAAAGAAATTATGGAACAGTCATAATTTGCAAGACTTTAAAATGATACATTTATCAAGGTATATTTTTAAGAGAAAACATAACATTTGCAGAAGTAAAATTCTTACACTAATAGAACCCAAATTTTAATGCTTAGAGAATACAATGTCAATCATTTTTTGAAGCTCCTGGTCTGGGTAATTGGAAAATAATGTTTCATTTTCCCTCATAGTTTCTTTACTTTGTAATTTGTCCCAGAAATAATGGTTTTGATAGTATATTTTAAAGTCATGATGAAGTTAAGCAAACTTGTAGCCATTGACTTGGATGCCTAAGATTAATGCAGAAGAACTTGGTGGGAAACCAAATCTTTGTCATGAGATATTTTACTAAGCTGTGGGAGTGGTAGCTAAAAGACACTTAAAATCTAGGAAGGGTTACACTTTAAATCAATCAAACCCATACTGCTATCATAAATTAATCTTACAACTTGGACAAGTTAAAAATTTCTGGGGGTGATTTAGTTTGATACTAGAACTAACTTATGTGTGAGACTGGTAAAGAGCACTAAAGTGTTCTTTTGAACCCTGAGAATATATGTTAGTGGTCCTCAGATTTTATGTTTATATAACACCCACAGAAAAATTAAAAAACTAGGTAAACTAAGTTTTTTCTTTACAAATTTCTAAATGACATATAAATTTATCATTAAGTTCAAATAGTTATAAAGATATAATTTCCAGCATATTTAAAAATACCATTACATTAGTCTTTGAAAACATAGCCAATATAATCTAAGTATCATAAAAGTTTGACAGCTATTATCATCCATAATAAAAAGAACTCTTTAAGTCAGAAATTTCACATCTTTTTTCTTCCTAAACCTCTAGTATCATTCCACTTAATTTTATGTATTTTCATACTTAAACATATTTTAATGGTTTATTTTCCTACCATATTTCTCTACAAAAATGTTTATAAACCAACATGGGTCCTGAACTCATGACCCTGAGATCAAGACCTGAGCTGAGATCAGGAGTCAGATAGTCAACTGACTGAGCCACCCAGGCACCTCAACAACGTTTATGAATTTAAACGAAAAACTAAAATATTCTGGATTGAGTAATTCTAATTAGTGAAAAACTATCAAAACACAAGTTACAAAACAAAAACGAAAACAAAAACAAAACAAGTTACATACACATGGATAAAATAATTACTGAAGATGAAAAATAAGGTTAATGGCTCTATATATGTTAATAAGGACAGAGCTTTAAAAATAAATACTGGACAGTAAAGACTGGAGTAGAATGGATATTCTTTTCAGGACAAGGGAATTATTCTTTCAGAGTGGAAAATAAATGTTAGCATAATAGGAATTTGTGATATGTTCCTTTGCAAACATATTTTCAACAAACATACCAAATACCTATAATGTGGCAGCCACAGCTAAATGAAGGAGATACAGTGGATAAGAAGCAGTTCTCTTTGAGGAGTTTGGGGGAGGAAAAGGAGGAGAAAGAGAACATGTAAATAAATAATTACAATTAAATATAACCAACTTTAATAAAAGCATGTGTATTGTGCCTCAAGAAACCAAAACCATAAATAACTTGGTTTAGGATAGGTGACAGTGGCTGGTCTTTGAAGAACTACTAAATGTGATACTAGATTTAGTCCCCCAAGCATGAATCGGGGTTTACTATGCAGAGAAGCAGCTGTGTAGCAAGGAGACAGTGTTCTAGATAAAGTGAACAAGATGCTCAGAGTCATTAAAAGAAAAACAAATCTAGGCAAATGACCAGAATACAGAGTACAGTGTACATATAGTATATGTACTGTGGTGGG